GTAGAGTCTGAGACCTCCTGGTCCTTGTTAGACTTACAGGTAGAGTCTGGGCCCTCTTGGTCCTTGTTAGACTTACAGGTAGAGTCTGGGCCCTCCTGGTCCTTGTTAGACTTACAGGTAGAGTCTGGGCCCTCTTGGTCCTTGTTAGACTTACAGGTAGAGTCTGAGGCCTCCTGGTCCTTGTTAGACTTACAGGTAGAGTTTGAGGCCTCCTGGTCCTTGTTAGACTTACAGGTAGAGTCTGAGGCCTCCTGGTCCTTGTTAGACTTACAGGTAGAGTCTGAGGCCTCCTGGTCCTTGTTAGACTTACAGGTAGAGTCTGAGGCCTCCTGGTCTGGGTCAACAGGTGAGAGGAGACAGGTTGTCTTCAGTTTGAACCTGTGTTTTTGTTTTTTTAACCATGTCCTGTTAGAAACACCCAACACATTCATGTTCAGAACAGATTTTTATAAACTTTAAAACACAACTGTGAATCTCAGTACTGATACTTGTTCTGTCAGATGTAGGTCCACACTAGTTCTGGCACCAAATCAAATGTGGTTCTGATAAGGTTCAACCAGCAGAAGCTGGTTATGACAGTGTTATTTCAGATGTCGACGGCTCTAAGACCGGGCTTTCGATGATGTGGTGGGTCTTCATGTGCGTTTTCAGACAGTGGCTCTGGGTGAAGTCTTTCTCGCAGACGGTGCACTTGTAGGGTCTCTCTCCGTTGTGGGTCCTCATGTGGACCGTCAAGTGTTCCTGTCGAGAACAAGCTTTCCCACAGACTCCGCAGACGAAGCGTTTGACGCCCGTGTGGGTCAAGATGTGGGAGTTCAAGGTGCTCTTCAGCTTGAAGAAGCGTCCGCACTCGGAGCATCCGTACGGTGCCTCTCCGGTGTGAACCCGCGTGTGCTTTATGAGCTCGGACTTGTTCAGGAAGCCCTTCCCGCACACGCTGCAGACGAACGGTCTCTCGCCGCTGTGCGTCTTCATGTGGTTCATCAGGCTGGAGTTGCAGAAGAAGGTTTTGCAGCAGATGTGGCAGAGGTACGACRTCTCCCTGTGAGTGTGGATCTTCTCATGGGACTTCAGGGTCCCTTCAAGTTTGAAGCACTTCCCACACACCTTGCAGCTGAAACGCCGCTCGCCCGAGTGGGTCATCTTGTGGCGAGTCAGAGACCTGAGATCGAAGAGAGCCCTGTCGCAGATGTTACAGATGAATTTGTCTCTGCCGGCGTGCCATTTCCTGTGAGCCATCAGCTGGGCTTTCAGACCGAACGATCTGGAGCATAAATCACATTTGTGTGGTTTCTCCTCCATGTGGACCCATCGGTGAACCATCAGCTTTGACTCTTGAGCAAAGGTCTTGCTGCAAACGGTACACTTGTGTGGTCTGTTCCCGGTGTGCACAGACTCGTGGTTATTAAGGCCAGTCATGGTGATGAAAGCCTTCCCACAGAATGAACAAACATATGATTTCTGGTGAGACTGGAGATGGTCTTTCAGCTCATTGGAAGACCCAAAACTTTCCCCACAAACGGCACAGATGCATTGTGGGTGGTCCAAATGACTCCAGGCATGTCGGACCAAGCCCCCCATGATGGTGTACCTGAATCCACACACCTTACAGGACTCCTTAATCCTCTTCTTCTCTGTGAACTTCCTGGATCTTTGAATTTTAGTCGGCAGAAACTCCTCAAGATGAACAAGGCTGAAAAACACAAACGTTATTAAAGTCAGAAAGCTACAGAAAAGCCACAGGTCTAAGAGGAAGCTTTAAGGACTTACCGGTACATGGTTTATATGCAGAGTTGCACATAACCAGTGCGCAGGTGCGCTTGCGTGATCAAAAAAGGAAAAAGCGCACCAGATGGGACGTCATAAAGCTCCCTTGCGTACCTAAGACTGTACCTGATTGTCCGTCAAAACAACAGCTAGCAGGGCTCTAGAGTGCGACCAGTGTGGTCGCAAACGCCACCCGATTTCTTAAAAAAAAAAAAAGAATCCAGCCGCACTGGTGTGAATAGGTTGTTCGGTGCGCCAGAGCGGGACCCTGATATAAGGATTAAACGAACACTGCCTTCAAC